GAAAGGAAATTGTGTTTGGGTGTTTTGGTTTTGTTGTTGTGGTTTGTTTGGGTTTTTTTTCCCTAAAGGAAATAACACTTGACAGAAGTTTATATTGGGTACCCTGTGTAAATAAATAATTAGCTTTTTTGAATTAGTGGATTTTTACTTATTTCTGCCTTTTGCAGCACAGCCTTGATGGTAGGATGAAATCCTGACAGCTCTGCTATTATTTCACTGTTTCTTGTGAAGTTTGAAGGTCTTTGGGTGTGCATAAGGGTAGCACAGTTGAAGTTTGTGGATGTAAAAACGTTATCATCCAGCAATGGCAGAATGAAGCAATGCTGGTATGAAATCCTTGAGAGAAGAATTTGCTTTAAAACTTTTCCTTTTCCTTCTTATGTCAGTCTCCATATATACTGTACTAGGTTCTGTGTGGTTGTGTGATCAACTCCGTAATTGAAGCAACCATTACACGTTGAATTCTTGTCTCTTGCATCTTTCATGGGGTTTGGCAGCTGTCCTCTTCCCTTGCCTAGCCGAGGGTTGCGTGGTGGCAATGCAGCTCTTCCTTCTCTCTGCCACCTGCTTCCTTCTGCACAGTGCTTCTGACTGGAGACTGTGCTGTGGTATTTAACGTGTGCCTGGGGGACTAGGAGTGCTAAACTAAAATGATGTGGAAGAAAAAACCAACCCAAAAACCCGAACAATAAACCTGCCCTGGGACAAGAAAACAGTAATGAGAAACACCGGGGAGAATGTACAGGGAGAAACAAGCAATCATGTTGTACCTGGAAGTGCAGAAGGAACCTAATTTTTCCTGAAACTGCTGTCAAGTCAGAGTTAGTTGCTGAGAGTTGTTTGCCTTTCAAGAGTGAATAGATAGTTGGGGGATGGCAGTAAAGGGGAAGAAGCTTATAAGTGTGAAGTGTGGATTCTAAAAGCTTCCTGGCGTTTAGGTGGACTTCAGTTATTGGTGACTGTTTTGTAGAAAGTTTCCATGGCAGTGGTGAGATGCTAACGATGCTGATGTGGGTTTTTAAAGAGTCCCTCTGAACAATTCCCAGGTGTGATTTTCCAGGGAATAATTCCCAGGTGTGAATTTTCCAGGGTTGCTGTTTGTGTCAGTCCTTCAGCTTGCTCTTGAGAGAAGCTCAGTGAAAAGTTTGAACAGTGTTATTCAGTTGTTAGCTGAAGTATTAAGTTTGTGGCATTGATTGAGTTAATATTTCCAGTCCTTTGCCCCTAGGTATTCGACTAGGTATGTGACTTTCCTCTACAGTTTGGTGAAACCCCAGTGTGATAAATTAGCTGTCTCCATTAATCCTTTGTCTTTATGATTAACAATTTCTGAATCATTTTATTAGCCTAATTATTCCTGTGGATGTCTAACTGCCTCTGAGGTGTTCTGATCAGAAGTAAAATGTAGGTGAAACTCAAGGATGTCCTATAAGGCTGATGTAATTATTATGTTACATAGCTTTTAAGCTGAGCTATGCTAACACACTTAAAGACAGATGAGGACTAGAAACAGACTGAAAATTGGAAGGTTTTCTGTGTTCCTAGTCATGCTCTCAGAAGTAGTGTGAACTTAAAGGGCTTGAGGGCTGAGATCAGTGTTGAATTTCTGAGGGTTTTCTTCATATAAACAAATGATTATTATAGATGTAAGCAAACTATGTGCCAAGTATACCTGCTTCAGGGTAGTGGTACAAAACCAGTTAATTTAATAGACGAGAAAAAAGTTGTGCGTATAATTGTTGGTCATGGTTTCTGTCCTGTAGGAGTAATATGGGCAAGATCATAAGCTTGAGCTATTGATTTAGATTTCTGAGAAGAAATATATTGAGAAGGATCACAATTCAGTTATAAAGTTGCTTTTCCCTTCTCACTTCTTTGCTTTGAAGACATTGTATTAGAAGGACTGAATTTAAACTTATAATTTATTTGTTAGTGTCTTGTGCTTCCAGCCTCTGAGCCAACACAGACTAATAATAGGATCTTCATTGGAATTAGATTAGAATCACCTGATTAAAATTTAATGATATGATAGCATTTATGTTGCTCCAGCTCTACTATTGTTTCATGAGAAGCAGGATGAGAAATAGGTAAGTTTTTGGTTTGTGGCCACAATGGACTCGGATTCTAGCAGGCATGTTCTATTGGAGTGAACTAGCTGAAGATGCTTTGTAGCTCAACACTGCAGTATTAATTAGAGATCGTGGTGACAGTGCAGTAGCAATACAGCCTTTGTTTTGGTAGATTGCTGTTCTTCATTCTCGGAAGAGAATGATGCAGTACGAGGTGACATCCGGAAGACTTGGAAAATATTGCATTCATGGTATTAGAATTGTTCCAAGTGTTTACTTTCAAACTAAATGAGAAACAATAAAACATGCCAACTAAATCAACACCAGCGTTTTTTTATAGTGCTACTTCAGAAATAAACAGTAAATCTCTTTCTACAGATTTCTTCTAGGCAGGAAATCTGGTTCAGCATAGCAAATCTTCAATTTATCCTGCTTATGTAAGTTGGAGTTAGGCAGAGTTCTGTGGATTTCAGATGATACCCTCCTAAGGTAACTTTTGGTCCCACAGTGAATACCAGATACCAAGTTCTCGTGTAGTTATGCAGAGCCATTTCCAGTGTGAGTTTTGCCCTCCAGATACCAGGATTTGTATGCATATGGAATAATGGTTTCTGTATTGATGATGAAACAACAGGGAGAATGAAATGATCACAATCCACGTTTCTTTTCTGAGAATATTTTGACTAATGATTAGATCTTGCAGTTTATCTTAGGGGGAAAAACATCTGGCCATGTAACATAGTGGAGTGTTTCAAGATTGTTGTAGAACATATAATAGGAAAGGGGTTTTGGTTTTATTTTGCCTTTTATTAGGAAGGACTGTTCTGTATTAGAAGAGTGCTGGAGGAAAAAAAAAAGTTTCCTTACATCTCTGAACTTTGAAGGAAAAGCTTATTTCTGGGGCAGTGTCATGCACGTGTATTGGGTATGATAAGATGCCATTGCTGCTGTAGAGTCTGATTTGCCTCTAAGTTTGTGGTGAAATTGGAGCAGATAAGGGGAGTGAATCAGTTAATGTTTGGCCTCTACAATGTATTTGGGTTTGGAGTTTTACTTTGAACAAGATTTACACCAGTTCCTTGGACCAAACATCCTAGCTGCCCTGTTTTTTTGAAAATATCCAAAGATTGGTCTCAACCATTAGCTGTTTTGGGAGTTAAAGCACGTTTCTGCAGGAGAAGAACTTCCAGTTCAGGTTCCTCCAAAAGGAGTTTATTTTGCACACACAAGAGCCACTCTGCAAACCAAACTAAAGCTCTGTGAGGAAGATCAAGGAGAGGGTGTTAATTTCAAAACTGCCCTGTTTGCTCTAAACCAAAACGCAAATGTGTAGGCAACCAAATAGTACTGAGGGCAGGTTGGTGCTCTTTTTTGAATTTCTCTCTAACTTCAATTACTTTATCCTCTATTGGTTATTTCTATGTTTTTTCTACTCTCTTGAAATTCTTAATTTCTCTTGTGTCTGATGGGAGGCTTTGCCCTTGAGTAAGAACTGCATCCTGATACATGTATTTCTAGATTGCATTGTTGGTCTTTTTAATACTTAAGTATTACTGTTAAGATTTTCCTGTGAAACTCTTGTCTTGACTGTTGACTCTAGGATAAAGCTCTAGATGTTTGAAATAACAAATTTGAATACAACATTTTTAAGGAAAGAATGATGTCAGCTTTCCCTTTCTCTTCTAGATAAGCTGCTTTGGCTTAAATTGAGATTTATTACCTGATGTTCTTTTGTTGGACAACTGACTGAATGATAAGGAAGTTTATTTTAGCAGCTTTTCAAATGATTGTAGAAAAAAAGCTACTTTTTGTGGTGCATGTGTCTGAGCAAAGTGTTCATGCTTCTTCAGATCAATGAAGGAAAAATGAAGTGCCCCTACTGATATGCTTTCTGGAGGGCTAATTAAGTAGAGGAAGATCTCTCATGTTTATTGTAGAAACCACCTCTTCTACAAAAGCCCTGGAGATTATGCTTTTTCTTTTTTGATGACAGATAGTTTGAAGGCTGTGATTAAAAAAAAAACAAAAACCCACAAACCTTAAAAAAGTGTATTTTAAGCAATGATGTGAAAAAATACACTTTTGGATTAACCTAGTAAGAACAAATTTATTATTTTCCCAAAACATGGGCAAAATTCACCTAGTTTTATCAAACTCTATAAAACCAGAAACTGTCAAGACCTCTTACACATACTTCAAGTTTTGGGTTTTTTTTCTGTGTAACACTGTATGAATGACAAAAAAAAAGTTTAAAATAAAAAAAAAAAGTGAGACCTGTTAGGTCATTGAGTCAGTCTTTGACCTAACCACATCATACTGAACCAGCAAGAAACTGTCTCTGTTTTACACACATGTTCTTTTGTATGGTTATTGGTTCTGTGAATTGGATTGCAAGTTTTTGGTAAAACTGTAAGTAAAAAAAAAAAATCCAAATAAAGATGTTTACATCTTTACCTTTACTCCTTTCTTTACCTTTACTCCTTTCTTTACCTTTACTCCTTTCTTTACCTTTACTCCTTTCTTTACCTTTACTCCTTTCTTTACCTTTACTCCTTTCTTTACCTTTACTCCTTTCTTTACCTTTACTCCTTTCTTTACCTTTACTCCTTTCTTTACCTTTACTCCTTTCTTTACCTTTACTCCTTTCTTTACCTTTACTCCTTTCTTTACCTTTACTCCTTTCTTTACCTTTACTCCTTTCTTTACCTTTACTCCTTTCTTTACCTTTACTCCTTTCTTTACCTTTACTCCTTTCTTTACCTTTACTCCTTTCTTTACCTTTACTCCTTTCTTTACCTTTACATCATCTGACCTACATTGTGAGGATGAATGGATAATAACATGACAGACAAAATCCACTTTAGTGTTTGTAATAAATTCTTAAACCAAGTCATATCCTTCACTTCAGCTCTTTTTCATGCCTTTTGTTAGGAAAGTGCAGAATGGATAGGGATTTGTTGGATTCATTCACGTCAGGTACGGTACATCCACATTTCTCCTTATCGCAGGACGGCTGCCGTGTACAGCAGGAGCGGGGTCCTGCCTGCAGTGTGCCAGCTGGGTGCTGTGCTGTGCAGCACAGCTCTGCTGCCGACCGTGCTGCAAGAGCAGCACAAGTGTGGATGGAAAAGCCTGCTGCAAGTTTTTGGGCTGCTACTTTTTCTGTTTCTTCTTCCTTAAAAAAAAATTGCAGTGTGAGTGAAGTTAGATTCTTCTGTGTTTTGCAGGAAGCCGGTACAGATGTGATTACAAAACTAATGTTAACTGGAGGAGGGCTCGGGTGCCTGGGAGCTTTTCTTCCTCGACTTCTGTCTTGTAAGCTAGTTTAACAGATGATAATAGATCTTACATATGTGCCCTTATTAACTGTGGTTCAGTTCTTTGTTTCGGTCTTCTCAAGTGTTCTTTCAGAGAACCTTTAAAGATGATCCATGCTCCTGCCAGCATCTTCTTTTACATAATCTAACCTAATGACAACCTAACAGAGTACTTCTTCCTTTTTTTCCCTTAGGTGCTGAGCTCAAATGGATTTATTTAGTTAGTTAATTATTTTTCATCATGCCTAAAGAAAAATATCTCTTTAAATCTCTTAGGTAGCAGACTGTTATGTATAATGGTACTCGCTGTTCAATGGCACGCATATCTTCTAGACCATAAATTTTGTGAATTCACAAGTTACCTTTATATACTGATATGAAAGTGGGAGACATTTTAGGCATCTGTTAGGTGAGTACAGCTAAGCAACGTCTTTGCTTTCTGGCCTGATATATGCTATTTCTTGGTGGCATTGAATTCCCAATTCCCGTTCTGCAACTTTTGTAAGTTAGAGTAAAATTAATATTGAAACAGAATATAATTTATTTTACTTTTGTGCTTAATGCCTTGTTTCACTTTTTTCCTTTTAAACAATGATGGCTTATATGGGGGGTAACATGACTGAGAGGAGGGCTCATTCCAGATATAGAACTTGGCTTTTGGCTCCTAAGTTAAGCTTCATACTCTTTAGTTCATTAAGCTCTTAAAATGCAGTACTTTATTTTACTTCATAATCACAACCTTGGAAAAATGATAGTGAAGGGAGTATAAGTGGGCTACGTATATGAAATTATGAAAAGATACCCCAAGCAGACCTGAGAGCTGTGGGACTTGTGAGGGAAACATAAGTTCTGCAAACTGGAACAGAGGTACTTCCTTTGCATTTCACATTTGATGGCCATTCAAATTGATGTATCATAGGTTTTAAGTAGCATATTTTACGAGAGATTTGATGTGTTTGGGGGTCAGAACTGAATGTTTTTAGCTTGTTTGTTTTAGGTTCAGCTGTATTGAGTTGTCTTTGTGTGTTGGTTGTTCCCTCTCATACCCTTCTTTTTTAGTGTATGTGAGCAGGATAAATTTCTACACCAGAGAATAACATCTATTTATTCCCAAGAATCTGTTAGTCAAGCTTACCAGTTGTTACCTGACACTAAGGGGCCGACAGGTTCTTGGAGGGATCCTTGACAGAATGATGATGGCACTACAAAATAAATACAATTAAAGCTTTATTTTCTTAACAAGATATTGTGATTAGTATAGCACAGAATTTAGTATTAGAATGGCACAGGATTTCTACAAGCAGAATCTTTATAGTATAGTTATGAGTAGTGTAATACAGAATTTATAATACAACTTTACTATTTCTAATTACTTGGACTCTCTGTTGATTGAGTCAAATCTGAGCACATGGTTTGCTGTATCAATATAACAATCATAATCTAAACTCGAAAATCATATAAAAGCATAAGAGTCACTCTGTCCTCAGAGGAAGCAGATGATGATGGAGGCATCCCTGGGCACTGGGGGTCATGAGTCTCACTGTCCAAGTTCCCTACTTAGGACTTGTAACTGCTTGACTTTATGGACAGTGCTCCGTGTGCTGTGAAGGGGTCATCACCACCACTGGGTTGACTGGGTGCCTGGGACCTTCAAGGCTGGTAAAGCAGGGAGTAATTGGCCTGCTGCCCAGGAATCTTGAGGCTGGTAGGGAGGGGAAGAAGAAATCTGTTTGGTTTGTCTACTTGGTTCACAGGACCTTCAGGACCTGATAATGAGGGAAAAGGCAATGAGTATGTGACCCGTTCAGTCACAGAGAATAGCTGCTTGCCTTATAGAATGGTGTTATGCTAAGGACATAACCAGGGGTCAGGAGCAGGTCACACAAATCTTACCCTGACACCTCGACAAGGCAAATTCCAGTTCTGATGATGGCAAGTTCTGAAATAGTGGTGATTATGGATTTTTTTTGTATATACTTTTTTCACTTAAAAATAATTTTTATTAAGATACTTGAGATGTGGAGCACAGCAAAAGGAATTTAATCTTGGGTAGTGTTTATAACATGGAGTTTGCCTAGGCAGTCTAATTTGGGTTGCTGTAGTTGTTCCCTTTCAACTTGTTTATTTAGATGGCTCATCTATTTTAAATGACAAGTTGGGGAGAAGATAACATCTGTTGAAAGTGGACTACTTTTGTTCAGGTTTTCCTTACCTGCTGTGGTGTTGACATTTCTTTGGTGTGGATTGCTAAAATGGGAAGATGCTCTCATACCAGATCTGGAAATGTACCAGGCTCTCGATGAGCTCCACAACTAGCATGTAAGAGGACAAGACCATGGAGTACTAATTTAAAAGATAATGTTGGTGATGACACACACAGATGGGCATTAAACTGCCTGGGTGTTTGGCATCACTCCATTTTCCTTTGCGACACATCTACACCTTTCTTTCTGTGTCAAGCACAGAGGTGCATTTGCAGTATGTGCAATTTCCTATTCAAAGACAGGCAAAAGGAGAAGCATTGTGGTTACTGTCTGTTTCTGATGCACTTCTAAAATTTGATCCTCAACTTCATTGGCACCTTATCTTACCTAAAAGACTTGAATTCCTTTGTAGGTACCCTCTTAAAAAAAGAGCAGGAACGTAGTTTTGTCGTGTGCCTTATCTTATTTTTGTGATTGATGGGGCTAAAGGTTTTCCAGTGTTGAAATGCGAGGCTGTCAGGTAGGATGCTAACTGTGTCTCTGTGTCTCCTGCTGTGTTCTTGTCACTTTGAACAGTATTCATGATAGCACAGGGGGATAAAACCATGTTCTGCACTAAATATAGTATAGTATAATGGATTGGAAAATGATAAGGAAACTGGGGTACTGATTGTCTTAGAACTGTAGCTTCAAAGGCAAGACTGTGTGCAGTACGTGACATGACTATATGGGGTAACAAAATATTTCTCTGGTAGTAAGGCGTGGCTTTATTTCTGCTGATCTTCACTAGAACCTGTCGCCTTGATCCACCTGTGCTTTATTGTGCTTAATAAACACAGCGGCTATATTTTTGGTGGTTCATTTGTTTTACTTGTTTCAATAGGGTTGCACTAAATAAAGCCTCTCTGACAAATTAAAAAACCAAAATCCAAAGACTCTTTCAGGCTGAGGTTGAACATCAGCATTCCTTGTCAATCTCTGTTGGGAGAGCTGAAATGAGAACAAAGAGAGGTGACAGTCGTGAGGTAGGAGGAGGTAGTGGGCATAGTTTTTCTTTCCTCCCTTTCTAAACTGTGTGCTATTGACAGGTTTACTTGAATGCCACAAACATAGTTAATGGTCATCCTTGGACTCTCAATCTGATCTTAGTGTGTTGATGGCATTATACCTAGCTGGCAAGTGCCGAGGTCTGTATGGCCCTGGGCAGAAGTTTGCTTACCAAGGAAGTGTCTGAAAGCAAAAAGCTATCAGTTAGGCTGATACTGTATTTCAAAGCTGAACTCAGTCACTATTAAATAAACTTATGTCTAATCTAAATGTATCTGTTTTCACTTTCTAGCCACAGATTTCGTTAATGCCTTTGTCAGTCAGAGTAGAGCTCTTTTAAAAGTTACTTTAATCATGACTGGTGGTGATAGCTGACTAGTCTTCAAATAAGACAGACATTTTAGAAGAGTTCCTGCAATATAGTGTACCTGGGCTTACTGGTGGAGGGAAGGAAGACTTTTATATTTTCCAGATCATCGCTATAGGTTCTCCACTTTCCTGTACAGCATTGATTTGTCTTATTTCCTGAAAAATTAGTTTGTGATTGATAGTTATTTGCTGTACTCTGATGCTAGAAACATCTGTGTTCAAGAAGGTAGATTCCTGTTCTCATGTGCTTTTGGCAGAATTTCTTTATTCTGTTCTGTAGATTTGACAAGAAGAAGTTGGAACATAGTACTGCATAGCAAACCTCAAAATATTTCCTATAATTTATCTAGCCAAAACATCTGATACAACATTTAGGCTACTTCTCTAAGATGCAGTGGGATCACCGAAGTATTTGTAGACCTGTATCATCTTTGGAAAGTTTTTTCTGGATTATTTATGCAACATGTTTTTGATAAGCTAGACCTCAGAGACTTTGTGTAAGCTGCTCTCCCACAAAAAGGTAAATACAACAATTGAATAACCCAGGAATAGTTCTAGATCTATTTTCAATAAGTTAGTGCACAGTGATGAATGAGTGGAAAGTGTCAGACCTTTATACAAAACAGGGAATAAATTAAGTATCACATGCTTGTATGAAGAAGGATGTGTTCATGTGCGATGTGCAAATGATATGGTCCAGCCATCTCACCTTGCTGTCTGTCTTTTTGAGACTTGACTAGTGAGGGGTAGATAAAACTGTAATGTTATTGTCAGTTGATCACACTTGTTTGAAGATCCTTCTTCTCTTTGCCAGCTGGAGACAGGTTCTTTGAGGGTTAAATTCCTGGGTTTTTTTTGTTTGTTTGTTTTAAATAAAAGAGGAAGAATACCTTTATGTCAGATTTAGAACAACTTGAAGGAAATTACTCAGATAAGCTTAAATCCTGGATGACTCTCTGTGCCTGTAGGATTTTCATATGCTTTATGTGAAACATGTGCAAAGTTGAATGCTGTAAACTGCTTTTAGGTTATATCCTTTCAGAAGTGAAGTGTGGCCATGTGTAATAGCTCTTGAGAAGGTGTCTTGCATGAACCAAAATAGTTAAAAGCTATTCTAATGGCTTTGCTGCACTGAGGGTGGGATGGTAGGGAGTGCATGGTTCATAGCATGAAGGAACAGGTTGGCTGTAAGGGCGTGCTTACACTAGAGAGAAGGATGACAGCAAAAAACGTGAGGACAAGATGAAACTCCAACTTGACACCTACTACTCCTGTTTCACAATAGGCAACTTGATGTGGACTGAAATTGCATTATTTCACTGCTAGCTTTTGAAATTGTCAAAGAGAACTTGCCTGTAGCAGAATGACTTTTCCAGTAGTGTAAAAATCCTGTAGTTCTTACAAAGCTGGTTTTTTGAGTCTGACCACTGATAATCCTTTGTTTTGTTCTTCTGCAGGAGACAGCTGGTTGTAAAGGCTTTATGATTTATCGAACCCGAGCTTTCATTATACGAGATCAGTTTTCTAGATAGAGACTGGATGCTAAAACCAGTCTGTGCTTTAGTTGTGGTGTAGTTAGTATATTCTCTCCTGTGAGGGTTAGGCTTTGGAAGACTTTTAAGGTTCAACACACCTGAAGAAGTCATGCCTTCTGACAAGGAATGGTTGACTGAAATGTATCCTATACAATAATTTTCTGTGTCCCTAATTTGTTATGCTAAATGATTGTCTGGGACATTTTTGTTTCACTGTGTGTTTGTGCTTTAGTCATGTAGTCTGTTATCTCTCAACTGAAACGCTTATTTGGATAGTGCCGTTTTATAACAGCTAGTCCTCTGGAACACTTCACACTTCTACTTATTTAGTAGGCTAGAGAAGGACATCTCTTTATTGACACAAAAGGATTCTTCTGACCAGATGGGAAAGCTGCAGATTTTCCTTATCTTTATCCCCAGTTCACCTTGTGAGCCAGAGGAGGAAAGGGAAACCCTTTTAAGAGGAAGGAGGCATTTGGCCACTAAGTTACTGGCTCCTACTTCAGTACTTGAAACTACTTTTTCAAATGGGTTTTATATGTAGGTCCCAGTGAGAATGCAGGCTGCACAAATTGCCTTTGCTATCAAAGTACTGTCTTGCATAGAGTGTTCAAAAGGCAGGAGGAAGAAGAAACCAAGGTAGACTGGCTTTATTCTAAACATAGAAAGCTTTTTGCCTTGTCAGTGCATTGTATTCTCGTGCTGAAGACTATCCCACTGCAAGTCATCTCTGAGGAGAAAACACAGGGGAATGCGTTGAAAGGCTTTTCGCATAAATAAACTTCAGACTCTAGTTTATGTCCTCAAATCTCGCATCTCATCCTCTTTCAGTAGACAAAAGAGGAACAGATCTTCAACTTGTGCGTAAGGATAGTTTAGGATTAATTTTGCAATCAAGAGTTTTTAAGCAGTAGTAAGCCCATAGTATTCGGTTTGTGGTCTCACAGAACTTAAGCAAGTGATATAGTGGGGTGGAGGAGGGGGGGGTCAGGGATATAACAGGGCTTATTTTTGGAATCTAATTTTTCCAAAATGTTTTGGAGTGTTACTAACTATAGTTTTCCTTCCTATCCTTGAGGAAACAGTCAGGATTTCATCCTGGCATTGTCTGAATAATTTTTCTGTGTGCTTTCTCTGTTGGTCCTTTGTGTGGCCTTTGTGTATGAATCTATTTTGACAGTAAAGATCTGGTTGTTTCCTACAAGTAGATAAAACTACTGACATCAATGAAAAAGATACATCAAGGAAAACCTTGGTCTTTATTTCTGTATCCTTAATCGCTTAAAAATTTGTTTTCTTCCCCTGGCCTCAACCTACAGTTGTTTATCCAAAGTAACGAGAGGATTTGTGTCTTGATGTCTACTGAATGAGAACTTCATTAAAGTGGTGTAGATGAGTCTTACTTCAGCTGAATTGTGCTGAGTTGGCGGTTCCTTCCTTAAGAGGTTTTAATTTTTAAAATCTCAATTCTTTTATTACTTACATTATTGGAATTTTTAAAGGCTTTGTTCTGTAAGCTGACAGAACAGGACATGTCAATATTTGTCTCTGACCACATCCTGCAAAAACATGACTAGTTAGTCCTGTTGAGACTTTTTTTTTTTTTTGAGATGAGCTCAGAATTTTGTAATGAAATTCATACACCGAGTTAAAAAGCTTTGTGATTTGAGTGAAAACGTCATGTGAACAAACAATACATCAAAATAGCTAGGCAAATAGCAATTAAACCACGGACAATAACTTTCAGTCATGAGGTATTGTCGGTGCTGTTTTCAGATGTGCAGAGGGAAAAGCTCTCAATTGTTCTTAAGTCGGCTGGTAACTGAATCCACGTTTGTAGAGCTTGACAACAAAAGGTTTTTTATTCACAATTTGTATTCTGCTAGGACATGCCAACTACTGAGCATAAACAGAACATAGCGTATGAGCAGGCCAATATAACATGTTGCTCAATTCATGACTTACCAGAATTCCATAATTTATATTAAAATAGTTAGAATTACAGGTAGAAGCTACTTGTCGGGGGATTTTAGATTTCTACATGAATGAGCGCGATGTAATTACTTTGAGGAAGCACACACTGCTTTATTTGATGTGGCAGCAAGATATGCAACCTGGGCAAAACTCTTTTTGAATATTACTTGCGATCATTTCATTAATTTAGTGAGGCAATACTGATAGAGCAAAGCCAGTGAGTGCTTGATAAAAGAAGCAACAAGATGTTTTACTCCTGCTGTTTGCAAATAAAGCATACTAAAGAAAATTATTCTAATGCTTTCCTCAAAATTTGTTCAATTCTGCCAAACTGTATCACCATAGTTGTATGACCCCATGTGATTTGTGCGTCAGGTAAGCAAGACTGACTTTCTGTGCTGAGCCATTCAGCAATGTGCATCTTGCTGTTGGTGTGATACTTGTGCCTGCCGTGCTCTTTGCAAGAATCAGCATGCTTTTTGTAGATTGTTACCCTAATCACGACGAAGGAGCGGGAATGTAGGTGAAACTGTAGAAGATTTGACATGTGCATTTTATTGATATTTTCCTGTTCATTGCACAGTAGGAACAAAAACCTACTTAAACAGGGACTGACCTGAAAGAACAGAAAGAAATGACATTTGATAGTGCACACATTCTCTGCCTCCCTGCATAATGTTTTTGATTGTGTTAATTGTGCAAGCCGTGTTCTTGATTAAAACGAATGTGTGCAAAGACAAAAACGTAATGGTTCCCAAGCTATTAGGAAATGCATTGAGGTGGTGGGTGTGACTTGATAAATGTGCACATCACTTTAAGTTGTCGGCTTGGGAATTTTATGTGGAGTATGGAACAGCAGTTCTGCGATTTTTCTTCTCCAGTGGAGAAGTGTGCAAGCTGTCTTGCTAGTGGAAAGGTGTGCGTGTGGGGAAAGCACTGAAAAAGGATAAACAGCAGATTCTAAGTTCTTTGTCAGTGTGGGGTTCTTAGGTTGGCCACTGGTTTAACTCCTGTTATGTTAAGACTGTGTTCCTTTTCTGCCCTTTTTCAGGTAGCGGTGCTACAGCAGTTGTCCAGGCAGCACTATGCAAACCCAGGCAAGAACGTGTAGCAATAAAGAGGATCAACTTAGAAAAATGCCAGACCAGTATGGATGAATTACTTGTAAGTAAATCAGAGAGGAATGTATTACATGAAGACTATCTTCTGTTTTGATTTTGGTTTTTGCTTGGTCCAAGAGTGAGGGTAGAATTTTATGCAGGATAATAGTGAGAAGAGGATTTGAAAATAATCTGAAAAATATGCCCTTCCCCTTAACATTTTACTCACGTATATTTTGTAATGCCACAAAAACAAGACGTGCAAATTTGAATCTTGGGATAACCAGCTGTTGAGAACTGTGGGAAGAACCTTACCCCTTGTTTTCAGGAGACTTTATTTTCAAGAAATTACTGTCTGGTTGTTTGTATTTTCTTAATACCAAGGAAACATACATTTTCCTTTGGTTAAACACTGATTAAAAATATCAAAATAAATTTTAGTAGGTCTCCTTAAAATGTCTAAAGCACCAAAATGTGGCCAAAACTAGTTGTTGGATCATTTTGTAATGACAACTTTTGAGGTGAAAAGTAGGAGTGGCTACACTGCCATCTACACAAGGAAACTCTTGTTAAAGCTAATAACACGCATTTTATCCGATAGGCCGTAACAAGCCGTTTGAGGAATGCTGTTTGTTTGGGTCACTGATCAGAGGAGGAAGGGACCTGTAAGAGGCCCTTTGTAAAAGGGACTTTTAAGAGTTTTTCCTCTGCACTGGTTATGGCAATCCAGACAAAATCACAAGGAACTGTTAAAAAACAAAACCTGTTGCTTTCTAATGGTCCTTGTCAAGTGCTTGTAAGACTAATGTGTATTTATATATAGGCAGCATAACAAGAGTTGAAGGACACAAAACCATTCTAAAAGTGAGAACACTCTCTTCTGTTCCACAGGTTATACTACTGCCTAGAGACTGTGGGCTTTTTCTAATGCAGAAATTCCTGCCTCTGAAGGAAATGAGCTCCTCAGCAGGGAATTGCCAGTGCAAAAGATATCTTGAATTTGATACAGAGGGTATGGTCCATCCAGTTTCTTCAGATAAAATGGCTTGTTTACAGTGGAGGACCCAAAATGCTCTTCCCCTGGTGATTGATGGCATTCGCCTTCAGCTTATGTAACAGCTTGTGCGGGACATTGTTGTGTTTTTTAAAAGAGGATTGTGATAGTGGAAGTTACCTCTGAGGCAGTGAGACTTCTGTCAACTGAAAACTCAAAAGATAAATTCTGAATTGTGTTTAGAAAGAGAGCAGCCCAAGGTGAGATGCTGTGCATGATGTGTTAACATCTACAGCCCATAAAGAACATTTCTATAAAACCATAAATACTGCTAATCATTGTAATAGAAAAAGGTCAAGATTTGATCTTTTTTTATTAGAATTCAAATGGGAATTAAGAATTAAAAGGTTACAACAAATAAAACCAGACAAAACTGCCAAAAAAATCTGCAGGAGAGATCCAGGTGGTCTAGAGAAATGACTGCAGTTAGTTACCAGCCGGTACAAAGTTACCTTAGCAAGTGCTTGAGTATCTTTATTGCTGACATGAACTCCACTGTCTGCCAAATGAGACAATAGGTCTTGAGTTTTTGGTCCCATATTGCTTGCTTTTGGTATGAAGGCAACTGTCCATACCATCTTTTTTTATTTTTTAACGTAAGTCAATTTCTGCTTTTCTATGTTCAGATTTTGTGCTTCTTTTATTTGTTGATCTGTTTTGATCTGGACATAAATTCTGGCTTTCCAAGTTCCTGGTTAGAAGGGTAAAAAATAGAAAAAAAGGGCCATGTGTGATTCTTTCTATTTTTATAGTTGCATACCCACGTGTGCATGCATACATATGGATAATAAATTGTGCTTTTTTTCTGTAAAGGGAATTATACTTACTCTGACTCAGTTCGAATAGAGAAATTTAAAAATTTTGTTTAAAAAATAGAGATGTTATTCTGGAAAAGGTCATCATTGATCTTCAAAACTCTTGTTACGACTGTATTAACATTTTTGTTTCAGTTGATAATACTTAAAATGCTCTTGCGTTTTGGGTGTTTTAACACTGTTTTTGAGTCTCCCCAGTTTTCAATCACTTGTTTTTCTGATCAGTTTCTATTGGCACAGGGATATTCTAAAACTTTCTGCCCTCTGAACATGCTGTTTTGTAAAATCCTGCTGCTGAACGCTTATGGATGGTGTGCAAAGGCACCCCTCAGAAATCCTCAGCTGTAGCCTTCAGAGAAGTGGAAAATGCAGCAAGCCTGGTGCCCATGTAAGCAGACTTAGGATTTGAAACAGCGTCAATTAAAATAGAAAGGCAGTGGGGGAGGGCGTTTAAATATTAAGGTTACACAAACTGCCAAACTCCTGAAACTCAATACTCTGTTTCCTGCAGTGTCCCCTGTTCTCACTATTGTAAGCTGAATGTAACTTAACCCCATGAGCCAAGGAAAAAACTCCTGTCTTTAGTATTGTCCTGCCTGGGTATCTTCCCGCATCCCCTTACCTCCAGTTTTTTAAAACAAACAAAATACTTCATGCTACAAAGCAAAGAACGTTCTATAGAATGGCTTATTCAGTTGAGTAGTTTTCTAAACTGTTTGCATTTCTGCTCTGGATAGCCCTTTGAGCAGGCTCTCTGGAGGAGCCCCTCGTGTGCTATGCCGCGCCCCGGGTGTCCGTGGGGGAGGCCCCGTGGAAGCACCCACAGAGCTGCGGCCCCTGCCTGGTCGCTGGGAGCTGGGCCCGGCGCTGTGGGCGCTGCAGCCGAGCACTGACAGGAGCTGTCTCGCAGTTGCTTATTAACTGTGTCACCCACCTGCCCTTAGGCCGACACACATTTTTGTACAGCTGCTTGGTGCAACTGGATCAGGAATAACTTGGCCGAAAACAAGTTAGCTTTTAACCTGGACGTATTTGCTGATCCAGTGCACAAACACTTTTGCTAGCATACGGAAGGGAGAAGCAGAGGGATGAGGGGGAGGGACTGCATTTGAGGTGCTGTTATAGCTTTGGTGCTGTTGACTATCTAAAGTGAGGTGAACGTGAAGAAGGCTCCAGGGCATTCTCCTGGACGTCCTGCTGCAAGCTTTTCGTCTAACAGTGTATTTTAAGTGAATGCTTTTCTCTCTCACCTGTGCGTATCATGGGCCTCAGCCAAATAACTGCAATTTATTTGGGGGATTACCATTCTGTGTGTGACTGGGGCTCTCCAGAACTGCAAGTCTGAAATGAATACTTTCATTACTAAAATTTAATCCCTTATCTCTCATGGGGTGCTTTCTCTTTACTGATTTTTGTTTTTCAAAGGCTCTCTTTGAAAAAAGTCACCAGAGCTGAGACACAAGATGCTTTTGGCCACGGTTACTGTGATAGCTCAATTTTTGCTGTTGAGTTGATGAAAGTAGACAAAATACTCAAAGCACTTTTGAGTTAAAGATAGTGAAGTTTACCACAGTCAATTAGTTACATTTCTGCACCATTAATGTGTGAATAAAATAGATGAGGTGTATTTCTGCCCTGCAGTAGCAGGTAGACTTTTTGAGGCATCATTATGTTACCAGTGTAGGAAAACAATAAAACAATGTAAGAAACAAAATAGCAATAAAGAGCAGGAGAGTTACAGTGAAGAGTTGGTATGGCTAGCTGAATTAAAAACCTGAGGCAATACTTTGACTTGTGTTTAAGCTGACATGTTTCCTGGGAAGGGAAATGAGTCCCACATAACTTTCTTCTTTTTTCCACCTACTGTCTCCCGGTGCAGAAAAAACCCCAAAACCCAACCAAACAAAACCCCCCCCAAAACCAAAAGAAATAAGCTATTTTGCAGATTGCTCAGTTATTCAGGTTCATTGCATGTCTATCCAGGCATTCGTCTGCTGTGGTTCAAGGCTCAGACATTGTCTAGGGAAGACTCTTGACAACAGGGCTAGTTGAAATGTGTGTCAAACTATGGCCTGACTTAGTAGTCACCAACAAGCATCATGAGATTAAATCAGAGTCTTTAATTCATACAATTAACTCTTTATTAGAAAGTGACTGTGATCTCGAGTGCATTGCAAATAACAACAAAAAATCCCTATTTCAAACACATGCTGAGTTAAGGCTGAAAGTTGAAAATGGCATCTGTGTCAACTTTAATCAGTCTGAGTGGGACTGGCATAGTGCTGGCCTTGCACCACTGCTGCTGAGTCAGCATGTAACATGGGTCCACCTGAAAGCAGTTGCTTTTTGTGGAGGGATGGGAGGTGGAAGAGTTTGGTTTTTAGCTGGATTAGCTCCCTGACTGGCTTACCCTCTGGGACCACATCCTTAGTACCAGGGATGGATCGGGGCTGTGTGGCTGGAGGTGGATAGGGAGAAGTAAGGCTGTGGGAGCTTAAGTTGGTGTTAGGCCAAAGCTTCCAGTGCAGAGGAAGCCTAAACACTCCTATGTAAAGGACTGGCCAGATAATTGCCAGAAAGGTGTTGCAGAACAATTATATGAAAGAGTGAATAGAAAAAGGACTCTGTGTGAAATAGCAGATACAAGGCAGTCATTCTTACTGTGTACAGCTGTGGCATGTCCTAGATAGTGTTACTTGGTAGTGCCACGTTGTGCATCTGTTTGTGACTGCGTGCTCTTCTAATGAATTGTTTCCTCTGACTTCTGTCTGTAACATTGCTCTTTCCTCTTGCACTTCTGTTTGATTGCGTGGCTCTGGTGTCCACCCGTCCGTCCCACAGTAGCTGAGCCAGTGGTGCTGTGTCCTTTGTCTGACAGTTGCCTTCCCCCTTTCCCACCTGCTCGCATTCTACTCTTTTCATATCCCTTCTGAACAGGAAAGGCAGTAGATTTTTACCTTTCCTTGTGTTTTGTTGTCCAGCCTGTACCTACACCTTCAGCTCTTGGAGACTGCTCATTCTTCATTACTCGATCTGAATTTGTGACTTTTAACAGTAATTTCTTTGCTACTCTAAGAAGAAAATTGATGTAGTTACACCTGTATCTCCTGGCCAAACCTCCTTGTGTTCTTTGCAATAATGTTTTGTCTTGCATGCAGATCTATAGGTAATTTGAAATGTTTTGGTGCCTTGATGCATATTCTGTGCGTACTTTGTTTCTATTACAGTATTTCACTTTGAAAATTAAACTTTCTCTCTATGGAAGCAGAACTGATACCTGGCTGTGTTATGTTGGGCTTTGTATTTCTTACAGAAAGAAATTCAAGCAATGAGTCAATGCAATCACCCCAATGTGGTGACCTATTACACATCTTTTGTGGTGAAGGATGAACTTTGGCTGGTTATGAAGCTGTTAAGTGGGGGTAAGTTACTGGTTTTACTTCTTTAGCTGCAAGGAAATGGTATGATTTTTTTTCCTAATATACCTCCTTTGAGTTAATTGATCTAAACCAAGTAAGGATGGTGGAGAGAGACTACATAAGATGAACCTTGAGACATAAGTGTGTTATTGCAGAAATGTGCAAGCTTAGAAAGTTTGTTTATGTATAGTGATAATACAGGCGAAGAATTACTGAGATAAACTCTAGTGATCTAACTACTGTAATTTTTTATTCTGAATCAATATATTAACATGGCTGTGTAAGGAAAACTGATGAGAATTAAGTCACTTCTGTCAGTGTGTCCTTTTTCGAGTTTCTCTAGAACCCACTTTGTTTTTGTAAAAATGTGCACACTTCTGATTTCATAATGAGTGTTTCTCATTCTTTATTTGAAGAAGATTCTTCCTAGGACAGGCATTATACATGTTGCTTTTTTCATTGCTTAAACTAACCAAACACTCATTACAGTTTTTGTGATGATAGTTAATGGTATAAAAATCTTATTTGGTTCTGGGAGAAGGAAAAGGGTCTGAACTGAATGTACTTGTGGCTTAGAAAAGTGAGGCTCCAAAAGAAGATGTGGTTGTCCTGGTCCCTACATTATGTTCTTCAAGATTAGTCTTGATGGCAGCAGACTACTGCACCATCATGCTGGAAAGGAAGGACAAGAAGTGCTCATAAACCATCACATGTTGCATCACATTTGGTTGAATTGCTCAGTTCAATCAAAAGCAAGCATAGACCCTGAGAGGAACCAGTGATTCATGACAGGAATTTACCGTGAGCTGTTGAAAAATGCTTTGATAAAAAGAAAACGTTGCTATTAGATTCCTTGAAATTTATAATAACTGAATCATGTCAAACTGGGTGTTGCTAAGGATGTTGTCATCATTTGTTTGCAGAGGATATCTCCTTCCAGTTTTGCAGCTACATCTTTATTCTACATTGTGAACACATGAACCACACTCTAAGCTGGATAATAAACCAAAACCTTTGCTGTACATGTCAGTTTAAATGTGGGATACTCCTGAATTTTTAATAAATGGTAAATTAACAAGCTGTTAGTAGATCTTTCTAGTGGATCATTGAGTGTTACAGTACTCCTGAGAAAAAACAATGCCTTGTTTCTCATTTGAACGAGGTAGTGGTGTGCTTTATTCTGAGAGATAGTTACGTGAGATCTTTACACGTACATGCAAGGATGTAAATTGCAGTAGCGTAGAAAGAATGAAGAAATATAACTTTCTTAAGAATCTGATGTGATAGTGATGTATATATGCTTTTTTCTTTACTGGATCTGCTATATAGGTTCAATGCTTGACATAATAAAGTATATTGTCAACAGAGGAGAGCACAAAAATGGTGTCCTTGAAGAACCCATAATAGCAACAATTCTTAAAGAAGTTTTGGAGGGCTTAGACTATCTACACAGGAATGGGCAAATTCACAGGTAGGAACATATACGTAGTGAAAAGAATTTTCTAAGTTGTGTGCATAGTTTGTTGATACTGGTCAGCTGCAGTAGCTTGGCGAAGCAAATTGTCTTGCCTCTTTCACATACAATGTAAATGCGATCAGTAATTATCAAATGATGACACTCGGACAGGCACTGTAATCCTGACTGCAGTTTGTCACTAATACTTAATACTTGCCTGTCTCTCCTATAGTTAGGATAGATCTGTGCTGCATTAAGTATGCCAGAACTGTGGTCTCTGCTTCTCTGCCTGCTGGTACACCAAATATCTCATCTGAATCTAGTTTATGTGCTATGGTCTATGACTGGGTTATTGTGTTGCACAGTAAACCTCTGATCTTGGGCACTGCTGTATAAATGTGAAATTTATTTTTTCCTGGTAATCAATAATGTCTGTTACAACTCTACAGACCTCTCTTTATGACCACATGCGACACTGGGATCGGTACTATGGAACTGCATCTTGGTGTATATGCATCTAGTGATTGTTCTTTTCTATATGTTCTCTCTCCACTGACTTCCTCCGTGTAAATTGTGCAAATCCTCTGGGGTGATCTATACATACCTGCTGTAGCAATCCCCAGATTGCTTCCACTGTTTGAATGTTAGAAGTGCTGTACTCTGACCTCCATAATTAGTTTTACTTAGGTGAACTTGCCTTTTAAGGAAGGTGCCTACAAGAGGCTCTCTGTCTGCCTTTTATAAGGCAACCTTTTAAACAAAGAACAGATTCACTGCAGACAGAACTCTTGAGAATGGAGGTAGTGCAGATGTAGCACAGTACTTGTTCTTTATGTGTACTTCTTGTGTCTCATCTTATAAATGAACTGCCTCTGATGTAAATGAAGAACTATTTCCTCCTTTTGCAGAGAGAAAATTGAGATAAATGGCGAAATAAAGAACAATTATCTTGACTTCTGGTCTGGGATGCCAAAGATCTGCCTCAAACCTTAATTCCTAGTCTTCTGTTAAGCTGATATTGTTGCGGAAGGAACATTCATTAGATTTTAAGGATAACAGAATCCTTTGAGGTCGGATTTGGGAATTCCCCTTGTCTGTTTTTAAAAGAGACATATCTATTTTTTACATCTGAGATTTCTCTTTTTTTATAACATCTGATTTGTAAACTGTGTAGTACCACAGAAGTCCTGCTGAAGACGATGCAGTGTGTGTTCCTTTTCCCACATATGTAGTAGGTGAAAGCTGTGGTAGTTCAGGGAACACTGTATCAGGTGGTATTTGCCAGTTGGAGATGTTTCCAAAATTGTTCAGGGATTTTGTTCTGTTGTTTCGATGCATTCTTGTTTACGTGTAAGGAAACAGGTTATATTGCCTTTCAGTAGCAGTGTGTTAATTATTTTCAGTAAATCTTGGAAAGATTGATTTGCTCAAATTCTTAATGTTTATGATACAGTCCATATGAAAGATTTATCCTGTGCATTAAGAATGGGATGCATATTTCTATCAAAAAAAGTCAGCCAGAAAGGTTTCTTCTTAACATTATGCATGAATAGCCTGTTAAATGGATATACTCGACTGTTAAGCACATGCTGAATTTTTGACAGATTCATTGTCAAGTAACTTTAAATCATGGTACCCTATAGCAAAATTGGATTGCTGTTTCTAAGCCTTCATAGCTTCGTTGGATAGAAATCTGCAGTATATTTACCTTTCTTGAAGATGGGTCTTTTTTCTGTGAAGAGATCAAAGACAATAACTTTTTTTGAACTTCTAGTGGTGCAGTTGGATGTGAGAAAGCATTAATTCTCGTTTTAAAGCTCAGAAAGCTCTCAGTTTGTGAGATTAGATTTATAAAAGGTGGTAAACCAAACTTGGGACCTAAATAGATTTTGAGAACAGAAATATCTCTGAATTCTGCTAATTTTATGCCAAAACTGAAATTGAGTCTTTTTATACGAGACAGAGATTGTGAGAGTTTGAACTCTGTACTCTGTTTTATTGTAAATCAGTTACATTTTATACTTCAGTTCCTGTTTCTATCTTTTAAGTTCTAAAATGCTTTCTTGTAAAACTAATTAATATGCAATATTTATTTACATAAAATGTGCACATATGTACTTTCATACATAAAAGTAACCTCTGTTTGTATATTCTAGAGATTTGAAGGCTGGCAACATTCTTCTGGGTGAAGATGGCTCTGTACAAATAGCAGGTAATGGTGCTGGTAGAGTAATGGCTAAATAAAATAAAAAGGTAATGCAGTGGTATTGGTTGGTTACAGTTGAGCGTGTATTAGCATTAAATATCTTCTGAATGTATCTGTGCTGTCAGGATAAAATTATTTGGTCTTCATAAGAGCTTAAGTACTGAGGAAGACCCCATATCCCATCTCTCAAGTTAGTATCAGATATCTGGAAAATACAGTGAGCATGTGGTGATACCTACCCCCTCTCCCAGTGTACTCCCAGGTACAGGCTATACAGTTCATGTATAGCTTGTGACCCGGCGATCAAAGCTTTGTCTTTAGTAGCTCTCAGTAATAAAAAATGACTATGAAAAGTTCTTTTTAAATAAACAATACCTCAAAATATATATTTTGAGGGCTTTAATATACCAGTGTCTGAAATCTCTGAAGCTGGACAGGAAAAGATTGGCTCATGGGTGAACCATTTTACTAATTTGGAGCAGTTCTAAGTATTCTGTTCCGAGTTCAAGACTTTTTAAGTAAGTAGTCAATTTTACAGACTTGAATTTTAATAAGATACTTAATATTAATTTATCCACTTGATTATACCCTGCAGTTGTCTTCACTTTGTATAGCAATTTGGGCAACTGCTGACATTCTAGGTCTATGTTGTTCAAGTATTTTTTAGATATTCTCATGCTGTAAAGGAGTAGATATCCAGACAAACAACCTAATTAAAAAATCATAACTAAAAAGTTGAAAGATAAAATCTCATGAGCCATCTGAAATAAAGCTGTTGACTTTAGATTATTACTTTCACCCATAATAAAATCTTCCCTCTCAGTAATCAGATAACATTCAAACAACAGCTTTGTTTATCCCTTTCTAGTTCAACTCCAGGGCTTGGTTATTGGCCTTCTCTTCCTTTTTGCTGTAGACATCTTAGTGAGTAAGGCTTTAATTGTATTGCCAGGGTGTCCAGTGCAGGCGGGACTGAGGAAGTTCAGTGGCTGGTTAGGTATGTGGAAAGTGTCTTTCTGTGATGCATTATTTCAATACCAGGTTATTTCCTATCTTCAGGTGAAAAATGAAGCAGTGTCAAGCTTGTTTCTTTGTTGGTGTGGAGGTGTTCTGTTTCAGACAGCTGAAAGTTGCACATTAACTGAAAACCAATTTTGAATGTCCAAGAGGCTGAAATTAATCTTTTTTTACATCCCTTTGCCTCGACCAAGTAAAATCTGTGTTTGGAGAAAAGATACCTGATAATTCTGCTTTTTATTTGCTAGAAGAATTTAGGTTCTTTTGGTTAAATTAATAAATTTATGAATTTTTTTTTTTTTTTATTTCTGCCTATTCAGCTTTTCCTTATAAGCAATAGTTCCTCTTCAGGAAACTGTCACTGATACCAGCATTGATTTTTAGGGCATTAAAAACTTAGAAGCAGGTGTTTCTGTGGCTATTAATGCTTTTCAGAAATAAAAACAAAAACTGTCTATTTATGCAAAGACTTAGAGATTTTGGAGAAAAAAAGGGGGTTTTATTCATCACGCAAGCTGCAGGGAAAACTAAAGAATATTGCTTGAAGCTTGCTTCTTACTTGTCTCCTATATTTCTGTGTGTTTTAGTGATGTAGAAGAGATCCAGAATTTGAGTCTGTGTTGCTTAATGGTTGTTTAGTGGAAAGGAGTGATAGAACTATGTTTTCTGTAGTTACTGATTTTTTACTTTCAACTTTAAAATCAGGGAACAATAGGAAAACAATAGGAAAATAAAAAATGAAGTATGTCTATAGTGAGCTACTTGATTTCAGTATAGTTTGGTTATAAATAGCACAGTCTAAAATACTCTTCGTATAGCTCTGGTCAGAGTGGCACTATTTCTCCATACATTGGTAATCTGCTCTTCTTCCATTTGTCCCCGACCTCTGCCATACAGCTGTCACTGATGTAGTGACAGGTTAACAGAACACTAAGGTTTTTTGCTATTTTGGGCATTTATTAGTGTCATGGTCTACTATTAAATATATAAAGTTGATCCCTTTGATTATTTTTGATTTGCTAAGTCTTCATAACTATTTAAGTTATATATAGTATTATCTCTTGTTCAAATTGCATTCAAATTTAGTAGCTGTACAGAAGTAGTGCCTTCTCTTTGAGCAACAGCAGATGCAAACCTTTCAAACCTTGGTTCAAAGTGCACATTTGAAAACCTTAAGTGGCAGATGTTCTGGAGTCCTTTGTAACCATATTCACGAAAACACATACTAGGAGGTTAAACTTGAGGGTGTTCTAGTGCAGATCTTGCAGATAAAACTATACCATCTATTCCATAGCATTTCAAGAACAATGTGTCACAAAACAAAGGTAAGCAATGGAGAGTTTCTTTAAGTACATCTGTATGAATTGACTTAATTTCTAAAGTGTAAAACCTTTGCTTTGTTACTGGTAGGTTAACAGATTTCAACTTTTTTTCCCTTTCCCAGATTTTGGCGTTAGTGCATTTTTAGCAACGGGAGGTGATGTTACTCGTAACAAAGTAAGGAAAACATTTGTTGGTACTCCATGTTGGATGGCCCCTGAAGTAATGGAGCAGGTATTCCCAATGTTAAAAAAAATATATATGTATCTTCAGTCTTTAATTTTTGGAACTTGAGACGTCACTGCCTTGTTTTTCCTTTCTGATTCTATTCCAGGTGCGAGGTTATGACTTCAAGGCTGATATGTGGAGTTTTGGGATAACAGCCATTGAGTTAGCAACAGGAGCAGCACCTTATCACAAATACCCTCCTATGAAAGTAACGATCACTTTGTATTACTTTATGCTGTTAGCTGTATTATTAATGCTGCTAGATAGTCAGCACTACTTCATTTTCAGTAGCAACTCAAGATGTCTAAATATAGGTATTCTATGGAATATTTATTCTCTTTTAATTTCAATATGTTTTGAATTGATTTTGCTTATAGTACCTTTTTTTTGGGATTATTGTAGGTGTTAATGCTGACGCTTCAAAATGACCCTCCTACTTTAGAGACAGGTGTAGAGGACAAGGAGATGATGAAAAAGTATGGCAAATCCTTTAGAAAACTGATTTCATTATGCCTTCAAAAAGATCCTTCCAAAAGGTAGGTCATTATTGCCATGTACAGTGGAATCCCTTTTTTAAATGTATGGACTACTTAAAGTTCCAGTATTTAAACATCATCTTTAAGTGTATGATTTGAATTTTTTAAGTAGCAGCCTGCAGTCAGTCTTCATCTGGGGAGAAGAAATTGCCTCTTAATTGTCATTTTAAGTTTTCTTCTGGGTTGTTAACCTAATTTATTTATATATAAATATACTTTTGAATTAAAATCTGATCAAACAGAAGTCCTTGCTAGACATTCTTCATTTCTCATTTGAGGCAAGATATAAATCTTGATATTGTGTGTAAGTCTAACAAGAATGTTCAGTTTGATCAGACAGAACTGTTGGTAACCAAACATACCAGTCTCTTGGCCTTTAAAATAAATTAAAAGTAAATAAATAATTTAATGTTGATTTTCTGATTTTGTGACGTAAGCTTAGTATTGTCTTTAACTTGGATATTTCCAGAGAAAATTGCTTATTAAGAGGTATTTATTTTTTTACTGTAAAGTTAGGGGCTCCAAGCTTGTTCAAAGTTTTCCTCATGTTTATGTAGGCAATTGCACGTCATAGTATCTTTATGATTTGTTCTTTCTTGCTGTGTTTTGTGAATGGAATAGCCATGGTGATGAAAATACTAAACTTCTACTCCAAAACCATTGCTGAGGTCCCGAGTTCCCAGTACGATTAATTTATTTATCCTCTGTTCATTCCTATGCAGATCCATTTTTGTAGGTTTCCTTTGCTAAAGAGTTGGAGGAGAAATGTTCTAATTAACTTTATTTCCTAAGGGTATTTAATATATCACTTTTTGAGGAGTTTCAGAGATGGTATTTCTGGGAAAAAAATTATTCAGGGAGCAATCCTGATTGAGTACTGTGTGGGTCTTCTATGGTGTGTACTCGTCTTCACTGATGTTACAGTAGCTTAAGTCCAGGATACTGTCGTAGGGAGTGAAGTCGAAAAGGTTCCAGCAGCAATACTAGAGAACAAGTATAGTTAAGAAAAAAGATCATGTGGCAGCATCTTTATTCTTGAAATCCTTCGAATTCTTTTTTTCACTGAAGGATCATTTATGTACGGTGTTCAGATTCTCAGACCCTTAGAGCTGGTGTTCTTAGTAAGTCCTGATACTTTAAGCTTAGTGCTACAGTTTGGCTGCTTACAGCTAAGAATGAAATGTGTTCTGGATAATCAAGCTTCTTTTTGTTTCCAGTGCTTAGCAATTTTCAGGGCAAGATTAAATTGGTATGAAAATAATTTGAAGTAAATAAATAAAATGTTTTTCCTTCTTTCCTTGAAAACGTAGTGCTGACTTACCTGATCTCTAGTTATGACATCAGTGTTGAAACATTAGTGTTTAAACTAATTATACTCATTTATTACACTGCAGTGTCTTCATACTCAGGATTACCTAGAATTGAACAATTAGATCAGCAGATAGGTGATTAGATCTGTGTGCCAGTTACTCTAACCGAGGAGTGAGTGTCCTTATATCGTGGGGGTCATCACTATTTTTTAATGTTTTTTCCAAGCCAGTATTAAATTTTGCACAGAGATACCTCCGTCGTCGTTGTGCCAGTTGTGGGAGAAGTGCCTGCTCGTTGTGGCAAAGTCTAGGGCTGTTACTGTCTCAGACCATAATGTTTTCTTTTGGGGATCTGTCTGTGGGTGTTTCTCTCCCCAGTGCCAAGGATGCTGCTTACAGTCCTGAGCTGCAATTCACTGCCACGGTCTGTGTGGAAAACAGTCCCAGAGAGCATGTGCAGACCAGTTCAGAAGTGTCTGGCATAATTAATGGTAGAGGAATGGAGAACACTAGTTTGGATAAAACTTCACTAAGACTCTAGCTTTTGACTGTGCATATCCCTGTTATGAGATGCGATGGTACTGGATCACTGAAACTTGTCTTAAAGTTAAGAGTTAATTTGAGATAGAACTTTAAAACTTTGACACAGAAACTGATTTTTTTATTTTTAAATGTTTTCTTCCTTTTTGCTTATCCAAGGTTTATGTGTGAATTACTGCTAAGCCTGGTGGTCTCCATAGTACCCCTAGTAAGAACTCCTTTATTGTAGAGTTTGATGCTTTGGAGGGGAAGAAAAATAAGTGCTCTGTGGAACTACTGTCTGAGTCTAAACTGGATGTTTTCTGTTGATGTCAGGAGCTGTTTCATTATGTCTAACAGGAGTGAACCGATAATACATACACACTACTTACTACTCTTTTCTTCACTTATTCTTCAGATTTGTCCTCAGAGAAATAAGTTAGTTCAGATTTTGGGAGTTTTTTTGAGATTGAAACTTCCAAAATTTAAGCTTTTCCCTGTCTTATCTAGCTTGTGCTATATCTAGTCTCTTTCTATAGCAGAAGTTGCTTCTGTTCATTTAGAAATTATGTATCTTGGAGATTTTGGCTTCCCTAAACCTAGCCATGTCAAAATTAGTCTTGGATAGTGGTATGGGCTTCTAATGGAAAGGATGGAAAGAAACTGGAGGATCCATCCCAAGAGATGCTTAGCTTTCTCTCCAGAGTTTGCTTCAGTACCGGTCTGCCTTTGGCTAGATAAGTAGCTTTTTACATCCCTGAAGCTATGGGAGACAAATCCTGCTGTTGGATCCTGGAATCACTTTGGCAGCTGCAAGATTATGATTATCTGTTGAAAATGTCAAAAATAAAAACTTGATGATGATGGGAAGAAAGAGACTTGAGCTGAACTGCAAGTAAAAGTGAAATGTCTAGGTTTTGAACTTATAACTGTGGCTTTGATTTCTATTCGTCTGTTTGGTTGGAAGATGCTGCTGATGACACTATTTTTGGCTTATGCATCATGTTAATAGTGTCAGTATAGTTTCTTGCGAATACCTGCTGACATCAGTGAGGTAAAAGAATGCCGGTAGCAGGTATTGATACCACTGTTTAGAAAATGTAATTATTATTTTATTGCTGTGGAGCAAAGTTCAGCCACTTGGGGAAGAACATGATACCTGACTCTCTTTTTTTGTTGTTGTTGTTGTTTTGTTTGTTTTTTGTTTTGTTTTATTTTAAGGGTAAAATGCATTTGTGTCGAAAGGAAAAGGGAGGAAAAAGGGGACAACTTAGAGATTGGGGTTTGGTTTTTTTTTTTTGTGGTATTTTTGCCATAAGAAGGCTTAATTTTTTAATGTGTGGTTAAGTGAGTATGTGTGAATAAATTAAATAGCTATTATCATTCATCCCCCATTCATACAGTACTAATTCAAAAGTATTAGAGGCGTACCATTTAACTAACGTCTTGTACTGTATTCACTGAGAGGGGTCTTTGTTTTCTGTTCTAATTTATTATTGATCTTTCAGGCCCACAGCAGCAGAACTTTTAAAATGCAAATTTTTCCAGAAAGCCAAGGTAAAGCGTTTAACCCTACGAGTAAATTTTGCTCTGCCTTAAAATCTCGTGAAATTTCTTCTTTCCTTGTATTGATTTTTAACTTAACAAATGTTGATTTTGCAGAATAGAGAATACCTGATTGAAAAGCTTCTCACTAGAACGCCTAATATAGCACAAAGAGCAAAAAAGGTGAGTGTATTCATGTCTTTTTCTTTCTATGCAAGAGAAAGCAGGGACTGTTCAGTTGTCTTACATTTTAGTTGGCTGACTGAGCCATTCTCTTATGCAGTCCTTCAAAGATAGTGACTGCTGAATTAATGGTTTCTGCAGCTTTCTCCAGGAAGCCCTGGGGCATTTTGACTTCCTTTCTGGCCTTGCCAAAATGATATATGGTATTTGTCATCATACATGATACAACTTTTCCCCGCTCCCTTTTAGAAAGCTACAGGTGAAATGGTTGTGCAAATAAAAAGTAATCTGCATACGTATAGGTACATAAATTGCCGAATTCATATCTTCATTGATCACCGAGAGTAACGGTGAAGATGCTATAAACGGCATTTATAGAGGTCTACCTGGTTCTTTTTGTTATTTCAAATGTGACACCCAAATGTATGGAAATTGGGTCCAAACTCTGCAAGAGTGCTGCTGAGTTATTCAGACCAGTGAAGCCTTATCCTACAGGTGATAGGGTTAAACCCACAGCTATGGCATAAGCTGGTATTTCTGTGGTGCCTTTGGCACTTGTGTAAATGAGCTTACCGGGTCATGTGCAGCAGAACTAAAAAAAATAATTCTTAACAGGTAAGTATTTTAAAACTTTAGTCTGGAGTA